CTTTGCTTTCTTTGTGTTTAGTGAATGAAAAAAAGAAAGTCAATAATTAACACATCCATTATGAAAACCTTTTAGCTAAGTACAGCATAATGGCAGTACCGATACAACTTCTACACCTTGAAGCCTGTCTGTTACAGTTTTACATTAGCTGAACAGATCAATATGCAATGTGTACCGTATCTGACATACATTAAAGATTTTATTTTACCTGAAAAGGCTTTTTACTAAACTGTAATCGTGTTAGCCACGCTAGCACCGAGTACAGTGTGTCAGGCCTAGACACACTCAAACATTTGCCAACAACAGAAATCACTGATTCCAAAAGTAACCCTCAAAACCATGAATGCCCGACTTACCCAGCCTTGCAAGAACAATAGGCATCAGTGATCTTGTCCACAGCTATATGCTGAGGGTGTGAGGATCTGCTGTTTTCCTCATTTGTCGGTAGCTTTTAGCTGTGACGCGCACAATGTTGGAGGCATCCCGTGGCTCAAACACCTTGATGTCGTCCAAAAAAGATGACATGAACTTGTTGGTTCCCCTGTCATGGCTGATATTTTGTGAAAATCCGGCAGAAATGCTACACTAATCGTCTTAGAAATACTCTGCAGAGAGTCAGTCGAAGTGAAAGACGCCATGTTTACATAGAAACTAAGCTCCGCGAGGCTTTGTTTGTGAGAGATGCAGCCACGTGGGATTTTAGGGGGCGTTTCTGGGCGGAGCGTGGTAAGGTCCATTGTTGATTAGCGCGAAAACGTGTGGGGATCTGTTAACTTTGAGTGAATTTCCATTGTCACAGAAACTGAAAAAACTGGAGGAAGTAAAAGGATAAAAAAAAATGTGTTTGATTAGATTGGTAAAATAATATTTAAGCACACAACTGTTATCTTGAAGCTCCTATTTACTATTTATTATTTCACATAAATAGCTGTGGTGGACCAAATTTGAGTTTGACACATGTGCCTTAAATGGAATTTTTTTGTAATTTTGAAAAAAAAAATATTTAGGAATATTGCTAGCACTAATTATGCTGCAGCCTTTGGTACCACAGACCATTATAATCTATATTCTTCTGCTAAAGAGAGGCTGCCATGCCCTCAGAGTCCCACATATTTTCTGTGCATCTCTTTACCAGTCAATATTGCCGCAAACGAGAGTGAAGCCTGTTTTCTGCACTCTGTGGACAAACATGAACCTCTGCCATGATAAAAGTAAGCCAAACTCATCAACACTCACAAAGTCTAATATCAATAAACCCTGCCTGCATGTGTACAAACAAGCCGAATCGATGAAGCAACCTTATCATCAGACAAATAAATGATTGACTATTTTGATCACCATCTGGTTTAACGTTAATCTTTTATAATGCCATAAAGTTAAAGCCTGAACAAACAGGATACATTTTAAAGCATAACTGGAGAAACTGTAACCTGCAGCATGTGCCCAGCAGGAGAAACGATCACACCCGCTGTGTCTGTCTCCAGTTTTCACCCTGCTTCATTATCAGTCATCAATTTGCTGCTCTGCTTGAGAAACATGCGCCATGACAACAACAACATGGGAAAAGGTTCGTTTGTGAAAGTCTCACACTCGGGGATGTGTGAATTGGCAGCATGTTATCTGCGACAGTAGACTTTAAAAAGCTGGCGTTCACGCATACACAGTGATATTTGTTCCACTGGGATCATCTAAAATAACACTGGGTGGGCTGGCCTTCAGACGCAGCCAACAGCGATGAGTTGTTTTAGTTCATTTTGGTTATTTTTAAAGTTTGCCTGGAGAATTACATGCTTTTTGAACATGATTAAGTCAGAAAGGAGCGCGCGCACACACAAAAAAAATCTAAAGCTTCTCAAATTTCCACTGAAAAAACTCAGAAGCCAAAGATGAATTAATTTAAAAGGTGAAACACTTGAGAAACTCAGACAGCAGAGCAAAATCTGCTGCACAGAAGAGGCTTTATTTTCCCACAGGTGATGTGCAAAATCAAGGAGTTTCCCTGGAGAAAATGAATTTCTGAACAGACTTTCTGAGTTTCCTCTGCATTCCCAAAAAGACTTTAATTTCAAATACTTTTCAGAACATAAGAACATTATTGCTACCTTATAGTAGAAGCACAGACTATCGCAAAGCATGCAAATAGTAATGTAGAGGTCATCAGTAACTCTGATGTTCGCCTCTGAGGATTAATAATCCAGTCACATCATTTATGACATTATTTTTGCAAATTAGTGACATTATGACTTTAACTGTGAGCTAGTTCACAACCAAAACTGTGGCTGTGATCCATGATTGGCAGATTATACACTGAAAAATTATATTTTGTTCTTCTAATTTATTAAATGCATAAAACCAAAACAAAAAAAAACAACATATTTTTCAGTCTATAAAAGTCAATAAACAGCATGGACTCTGATGCTTTGTCACAATCACATACAGATTAGGGAAATTAAATTCATCCATCCACCAAAGAAGCACCTTTTTCTCCTTTTATGTGCTATAGAAAGTTGAATAATGTTACTTAATGTTAGACGTTTAAAACAAAAAACATCAAAATCTGCACTTCAGTTCTTAAAGAAAACCACAAATCAGTCGAAGGTTTTCTTCGCTCACATCTTCACTGCTTAGTCACTCTGACTTAAAGGAGCTCTGCCTTTTAAAGGTCTCGTTTCTATAAATTCATTTGAACTTTTATTGTTTCCTGGTATCTTCAGTAACCTGAGTTTGCAGATTACCTCACCACCTGTTACTCATCTCTCGCTTACCTCCTCTCACCTAATCATTTCTCCCAGTAAAAATAGCCCCTGTTAGTCATTCACTTTGTCAGATCCTCAACCATTTTCTCTGGCTGTTTTAGACTTTTAACTTTTACGTTTGATCTGCTGGACTTTCTGCTCCTGCAGCAGAAAAATGATTGAATCAGTCACGACACAGACATGATTATTGGGTTGACAATAATTACTGTCAGGAGAGGGGAATATCCACTATAGTGATGACTTTGTCTCTAAGGGAGAGCCCATGCTCCCTGTGGGAACAGCGCATTCATGAGGTTGATTGACAGCGCTAAGATCCTCCTCCTGGCTCTGATTGGTTGTTTCTGACTGGGAGCGATGCATTTATTTTTTATTTTATTTTATTTTTTTCACATTTTATCTGTCTTGTGTTATACTGAGACGACACAGTGGCAGTTTTAATAAAAATGTAAAAAGAAGAAATTTAAAAGACTACTTTTATTAGTTGCATACTGCAGCTTTAAGACAGAGAAGGACTGGGGTGGTTTACCTCATTTTGGTCAATATAATCCCCACCTCACTAAGGTGGAGGAGTTTGAGTATCCTTATAATCCTGGGAGTTTTTCCCTCCTAGTTGTTTATATAATTGCAAATTAACCCGAGCGGAGGAGTTAGGATATAGAAAAACAAAGTCAGGAGAAACTGGGAATGGAGTAACAGGGCTTGAAAAGTTAGGCTGCTTTTTTCCTATCACCTTAATTTCACCTGGTGGTCCGGTCTTTGATTCTGGGGTTCGCCCACAGAATCAACTGAGCTCAGCCCAAAAGGATAAGAGCTGATTTAGTCCACATAGACCCAGCATCTGCTGGGAGCTGCATCAAGGGTGGTAGAGAAGGGCGGCGGTCAGTTTTCTCAATTGTGTTTTGAAGAGGATTTATTTGCTTTAATTGTACCGTACCTGGGAGGTCCAAATTACAGAACAGCGTGTGAATACATGAATTATGTAATCTGCATTGCTCAACATTTAAAGGTTTTATTTTTGCTGTGAACTACACCTTATCACTAGAGCAATGTTTTACAAACTAACCAAAGAGGTGCTGCAAAAGAAAAAAACAAAAAAAACTTAGTTTTGTGGAAAATTATGATCAAAGTTAGCAAACAGTGATGGCCGTATAGCACGGAGAGAGATTAGAGCTAAATTATCTGAGGGCTACAATAGTCAACAATTAGTAATAAATATAAAAGGCCTTCCTTTAATGACTTTAAGCCGTCTGCACAGGACATCACTAGTCAGTCAAACTCCTGTCCTGGAAAATAAAACTTTGGTTTGCTTACTTGGAAGAATGAGCTAATAACGAAGGTTTCTGAAAGTGTTTTTCTTGTGGAACTGATAACGGAGGTTTCAGTGAACATGTTTTTCTTCTTTGTCCAACCAAAACGCCTTTGAACCGGGTTTGATTTAGGGACAGAGGTACCAATTAACCAGAGATGGGAGAAACTGAGAGAAACTCCCTCCAGGAGAGAGACGGGTGGAAGGCACCACCGTGTGCATGACTGAAAGATATGTAAGCTGAATTGTATGTTTAAAGTTTCACTTCTTCTCTCTTGCTTTTCTTTTCTCACACGCTGATCTCTGATACTTACTCTGATTTTCTAAAGAAAATATCTAAAGACTCTGATTGAGTCAGTGTTTCGCTCTCTCCCAAAACGAGAAAGATTTTTCCTAAACACTCCTCTGTTCTAATCTTTGGACACTTTTCTTTCAGTTTCTTTCACTTTTAGGTGATTGCAAAAAGTTTTTCAGGCATAATTTTGTCAACAATCACTTTGCAAGAGGTAGTTTCAAGAATTTGCTTCGTATTTTATCGTGTTTGGTGGCTGATTTTCTGCCGTGGCAGGTGGCTGAGCTGCAGAGTGAGTCCTTCACCTGGATCTGTTTGTCTTAGAGACATTTGCTCCTGATTAGGCACTAAATAAACTGAACTGAAATGTTTAAAACGATGCCCACCTCCAGCTGCAGCAAACATTCCTGAGATAATGACGCTTTCTTCTGGATTCGCTCTCTTCTAAACCCTCTCAAGTTTACAACTAACATAACGTTTCCCATCAGAGCCGTAAAAATGTAACCATGCAACATCTGACCTGGAATTGTTTCTTTTTCACTCTTCACTGCCTTGAGATGACTTCATCGACTTCATTTAAAAAAAAAAAAAAAATGATAAAAGTGTGTGTGCAGATGTTGGCTCTCACCCCGACAAGCGTAGTTGGAGGACCAGTGCTTGCTGGCCATGCACACCACCTCCGTGTTCTGGGATTCGTAACCCCTTTTGCAGCGGATTTTACACCGCGTCCCCATCACGTTCCTGTAGTGCTCCCCTCTGGGCGTGCGGCAGCTCGCATCACCGTGCTTCAGCTTAATGGGCGCGCACCACGGGGTTCCTGGGAGCAGGGGGAAAAAAATAAAAAGATAAAAAGACAGGGCACTGGGTGCATCAAAGCAGGTACATGACTTGGCCTTTCAGCTGGAGAAGCTCAATAGGAAGCACTTACCTGCAGGCTGCAAAAGCTTAGGAAGAGTTTCTTTACCAAAGGAAAAGCAGAGAGAGGAAAGCCACCTATCTGCATGAGCACAGGCAGATATGGTGGATTTCTCATTACCTTCTCTGTGACTTCCAATCATCCAAAAGTGTCTCGGGAGAGGGATCAGAAGATGGCTTCACCCGAAGAAAAGGTGTGTGAAGAGCTCTTACGGCTGTTAGAAGATAGCTGGAAAAGTCTCTCTTTGTTAACACCACTGCTGAATTATAGGTATTCACGCCTTTTCTACGTGATTTACATCACTTCAATCTAATAGTTCAGAATTCAAATTAAAGTTGGTTTTCATTGCAGACCGCATATTTATCATGAATCGGTGATTTTCATCTCAGTTGTGAGACGAAGGGTGTACTTTCACAAACATTAAATGAGTCTCTTTCTGCTAGTCCATGTCTAGAAAGCTGTTTAGAAGGAAAAAAAAAAAAAACCTTCCTGTCTGTCGCCAAGATTTGCAGGGTCATGGCTTTCTTATTTCAATACAGGAAAAATAAAAGTCTGCAGTTTATTTCCTGCTGGCTCAGGACAAACACACATATCAGCTCAGCTGGAGAGGAGAGAGGAGACACAAGGCTCGGGCTTAAGGCCATTTCTAATAAAAACGACGGTCCAGCCTCCCTTACTCTTACTCTGTGGATATGAGTGGTGATGGTGTTTCCACAGCCACTGAGCAAAAAGAAAACAATATTTAAACTTTAACACGAGGGGAGGGTTTTATTTGGCCAGGATGACTATAACGTCAAATCTAAAGTTTGAATGGCAAAGATGGCCGAAGCAAATGTTTAATTTGAAATAAAATGCTCCTCTTTAAATCCTGTGCTTTATTGTCTACTAAATGTAACAGCTCTTTCTAGCCTTTGTTGCAACAAGCCGCAACCAAAAGTTTGAGATAACTGAGATCAGTGTGGATGGATTTTAATTCAGATACGTTGGAAGGTTTTCAAACACATCGGCCTATTTGAGGTAATGCCACAGCATCTCAAACAAATTTAAGTCTAGACTTTGACTAGGCCACTCTAAAACCTTGATTTGGACTTTAATATTCAGAAGTCTGTTTGCTGATGTGATTTCAATCACCATCTTGCTGCACTAACCAGTTTTGCGTGAGCCTAAGGTCACAAACTAATGCCTGATTCCCTGCTGGGAATCAGAAGACATGGTTCAATTAAAATACATTTTTTTCTAAATCAGAAATCAGCCTCAGTCCATCACAGCAGCACCATCTTCGACTATCAGCATGATGTTCTTTTCCATCAGGTTTTTGTGGGAAATGTGCAACAGGCCCTTTCTGTTCTTTGTTGTTGGTTTTCACCATGAATGCTCTTTTTGCTCAGTCCTTTCTTGTTGTTGAACTTTATTCACAGACTTTATTAGCTGATAAAAGTCAGGCCTGCACTGCTTCAGATGTTGCTGTGGAGGGGGTCAGTGATCCGTTTGACGTAGTTTTGTACATCAAGAGCTTCTTGGAAGATTCACCACAGTCCCGTGTTTTCTCCATGTGAGGACAATGGCCTTCATTGTGTTTGAAAATGTTTTTATAACCCTTTCCAGACTAAAAGATGGCAGTGATTTTGTTTCTAATCTGTCTTGACATTTCACTTGATTAGAGCACGATGCGTTTCTTTTTGACCACTTTATGCTGTCATGCCGGTTCTGTGTGATTTCTTGATTCTGCTGGTTTGGCAGTGATCAGATCTGGGTGTAAATTGAACCAAAAAAATTTAATAATCAAATGTTTATTGTTGATCCGGCTTACTGTTGTCATTTCTGCTTATTTGTATGTGTCTTTGAATCTCCTTTTCACTATAGGTTTCAGAAAAATAACTGGGTAGGTACGTTTTAAAGAGCACAACCTTTTGTAAAAATAAACAAAAAAATGTACTTGACCTCTGAGGTTCTGCTTATATTTCCACATGTATGCATTTTTATTTATTTATTTATTTTTTTTTTTTTCAGAATAGTCACCTTTATATCTACGAGAATACCAGTCCTCGTCGTCTCCGTAACCATAGTGCCCTGACCCTGAAAGTGAAAGAAAAAAAAAGAGAAAGCTACTACAAAGAACTACTCCAAAAAGAGCACAAGATCAGATGTTGAGCAATCCCTTAAAGCTTTTCCCTGGACTCATCAGGGAAATGACTGCTGCTGCTGCAAAGCAGACAAAACAAGCAGGGAAATCTTGCTCAACTTTCCATTTTAATCAGACTGCAGGGGGGATCTTCTGGACACAAAAGCGCAAAGAATGAATTTCCAAACGATCTTGTTTCCTCTAATAAATAAACATTTTTAGTGAAAATATTCATTCTGAAGCCCCCCTTGCTAGTCCTGATGCAAATGGGAAAAGTTCTGCTATTACACAACTGGAGTTGAAGTTGAAACCAGATGTTGACAGATGCTGTATGAAAGATACATCACCTTTTCTTTTCCTCGCTGTCTAATATTAAGTCAGAGTGAAACTTATATGTTGTAGGTGAGTTTAAAATGTTCTAAATGCCAGAATAACAAAACGTAGACTATTTATTTGATCACTTTCTTTGAATTCAGAAGTTTTTAGACACTGTAGCAATACTGATGAGCATTTAGAAAAACCCACAAATATAATATAGTAGGTTAAGTGATAAAATACCAACTAAGAGACATGGAGCCAACAAATCAAATTTGCTGCTTTCTTCAGGGATATCTTGGAAAAATCAGCCAATCAAGTGAGCAAAACCTAATTCTTGTAGAAATATCCTGTAGCAAGCACGTTTGGCAAACAAAAATGGCAGAATCACTTTGTTTTGTGAGAGTTTTTTTTTTTTTGTCCTGCAGGAGAAACTGGTCCACTTTTTAAAGCAAGTGCTATTACGATGGAAGAACGTTAAGTGGAGACACTGAAGTGACGTCTCAAGACATCAAGCAGGAAAGAACCTTTTCCACCAAACTGGTTCCAGTGCTTTACTGGTGCTCTGGCTGCATGTTCTTCAAAACACCTCCAAGTTCTCAGATGCTTTATGTTGTTTAATTTTTGCTCCAAACAATGACACTAAAAACTTAAATGAGAATGTCTCTGAACGTCCTTTAGCTTATTTTAAATCACCCTTCATGCAGGTTAGTATTTTTTTACTGGAAGACCAATATTCCAGAAACATTTGTAAGAAGATTGTGTAAATTCATAAAAATTCAGAATGTCCCACAGTTTAACAGGATATCGCACAAAATGCAAAAGAAATGAATACTAACTTATGAATTTAAATAAGGTTACAAATATATCTGAGACTGATTCAATTCATTATTCTGGCATTTAGCAAATAGAAAGAATTACCGTAATCCTACTTGGCCTAAAGCAGGAAGAAATTATTCTGATTTAATCTTGGACAACAAGAAAAAACACTATGTCTCTTTGCTACGTCAGAGAGACATAGCATGTACAAGTAAATGTAAAGCATATACAAGTGTTAGATTTCAACTTCATACCTACCACAGACCGTTCTGAGACACCTTCAACTGGGAACACAATCACTGAAAGGGAGCAACCGATAAAGACATTTCTCACGGCTGTTTGGCCGCTGGAGGACACATTTGAGAGGCAGCGGTGAAAGATAAGAGTGAGAGGAAATGAGAGAGGAAAACTGTTTTCAGAAACAGTGGTTGAGGGGGCAGATGAAGGAAACACGAATAAGAAGATATTGGTACGGAAGGAGTTAAATTAGTGAGGTGGAGTGAAGTGTAGAGTGAATATGGTCTCTGTGCTGCAGGACTCATAAGAGAGAAAGGTGTTCGGCCCCACTCTGCTTCCAGGCAGTGAGCTAATCTGCTTTCCTCCACCCGATTTCACGGCTTTTCTGCAGGTTTACCGGAGACCTCTCTGGGTCAAAGTGCAGCCAATCACACAAGTTTATATTTCCACCCATCGTAGGACTTTGCATTGATCCATTTTAGTAACTGTGCTTGTGCCTAGCTCAGATATTTTCCCTAACTCTAACCAGTATATTCCTAACCCCAACTTTAACCAAAACATAATCCACACCATTCACACTGGTGACTTTGGGCCCCATAAGGAGCAGTGGGTCCTCACAATGTAGTACTTGCTGGAAACATGGGCCTGAAATGCTGTGACAGAAACACACTCACACACTCTTTCCATCCTTTGAGGTTTTCATAGCGGCATGAACTTCATGGTGAAGACCCAGTTACTGAGTCAGACTTATAGCTGGCTAATGGGGAAACTACTGCAAAGTATCTGCTTTGTGATGCAGCAAACAAGGGAGGTATAAAAGTCCAGTTGTACAGTGGGTGGTGCAGCTGTGTGTTTGCATGTGTTCGCAGTTTAAATGAAAACCACTCGGAGCTGAAAGAGTCCAAACCGGATCTAATAATGATAAACATCAGTCGATTTATTGTTCTCTAAACTGCCTTCCTACATTACATTTTCTGTGTGCTTTAGCATCGAAACCACATAAAATACACATGCATGGTGTCTGTCAAGTATAAATATATTGTTGACATGAAGTCCTGACACTCGAAACATGATATCAAAGTTTATATTGCATCTATGAACCGATATGCTCCACTTAATACTGTCACTCATTGCTGAACTATACAAAAAGAATAAATCTTTTTTTGATTTTCACTTTGAGTATTTTGCAGTCGGAGCTGGCCAGTCATTGGATGAGGAGAATGGCTCATCCTGGAAAGGTTGCAAGTCCAACACATGGAAACACAACCAGGCTCACTCACGCACGTAGACGTGACGTGAACCCATTTTCCTGTTTCCACTCGAGTCCATTCTGTACCGAGTCTAATTGCTATTCGCACTCTCTCCAACAGGTGGCGTGGGTTTGCCTGTGTTTGGATCTGCGTTGACACAGCAGCCAACAAAACATAGATTAAGTCCAGTTGATCCCGTTCCTGCTTGTCCATAAATAGTTTCTACATTCTAATGAATTCAAGGCAAGTACGAGCAATCCGAGACTCCTCTTCATTCGTAGATTGTGAATCTGTCAGGATGATGAAGAAGAAATGAGCTGCCAGCATCAACTTCCTGTCCGTCTCTCCTACATCAAAGGAGTTGCTAGTGCAATCTCTGCCAAATCTTTAAGTGTGCTGGAGCAGAAGGAGCTTTTTCCTCCCCATCCTCCTGAAGTGACCACAGTTAAAATAACAGAGCCCGATTTTCAATTAGCTGCTCTTTTGGGGATTTTAATGCGAACCATCAAACTCTTTCAGACGTTGGAAAGAGTTTGTTCTGGTTAAATGTGTAAGCATTTAACCAGAACCAGAAGGTGCCAAATCCAACGTTGGTACCTAAATTAGCACGCCGTTTATTCAGCCTTTAAAAAGTTTTTTTTTTTTTTTTTTTTTCCATCCTTTAGCAATTTGTCAGCCTGGTCACTGTTAAGGTAAAAATGGGTATTTTATAGAGGTGGGATGAATACTTTTTGCTCCGTCTGCAAAATACTTAGAGCCCATTTTTACACAGATTTGCTTTGTTCCTTAAATGTCTTGTTATACTGAAGGATGGCGCTCGTTCATTATGCTCTAAGAAATGTGGGAAGTCGTCACAGAACAGCTGTGTTTTAAATGAGAGTAAATTACACACAGGCGGGCTGTGTTTACTAATTACACGTATGAAGTGAATTGATTTGGTTGCACTGGGTTTATTTTTGGAAACAAAGTAAAGAGGGCAGGATGCAAATGCAAAACGTCAGATTTTATTTGTACAAAATTAAATTAATCAACCCGGTATCTTTTTATTCCACTTCATAACAATGCATTTTGTGTTGGTGCATTGAAAAAACTTCCATTACATGACATGAATTTGTAGCGTAACAAAACATCAATTGTTAATGGGTGTGGGAAATTGCAATTGCAGTGCCAGCAACAAAATTAATAATATGTATGAAGAAGAATCTTCTTTTTTTTAGTTATTTTTCTCAAAGTGTTTGGGAGTAAGTTTTGCTGCAAGTAATATAGCAAGAGTATTAATTTCTTATTTTTACCTGGTCAATAATAAACAAAACACCAAATATTTTAATAAAAGAAACAATGTATTGTTTTAAAGGGATAACATGTCAAGCACTTCAATCATTATGTGGGTTGATTGTTCTGAATTTTCTTCTATTTCCCTTCATTTTACATCATGAACATGATTCAGTGTTTCTTTAACGGCTCTTGCTTCACTGAGCCAACTTTTATGATGGATGCTCCAAAGTCTGTCTTTGAGGGTTTGCCTGTTTGCCATATATATATCATGAAAACAGCAAAACTCCATTAACAATATCCTATTTGCTTCTTCGCTGTCCAAACAAGCTGCAATAATCATTCAATAATACCTTGGGGTTGCTGAAAATTTTCTTTAAGCATTTTTGCAGGACAATATACCTAAATGAAGTCAGCATCGCAATACTAGTGTGCATAGTAGCGCAGTTGCAGCAGACTGCAATATTTGGGAGGACATACTGTGTATTTCAAATGTCATGCAAGCAGATTCTGCGTATTTGGCTGGCTGATTGAACTCTCCCTGCCCACGAGGCAAAGAAGGAAAATATGGGTAGATCTTGATTGATGTATCATTTTTCCTTCCACTTCACAGCTGTGCACTATTTTTCTGTAGCTCTACCAAGCAGACCCCCCCCCCGACCCCCCCAAGGTATAATTAATTTAAAATTTTTGTAACCATTGTTGCCTAAAAAGAGGGGGAAGCATTTGTTAAGAAAATCTCTACATCCCAGCCTGTGTACTCAGGCGGCCACAAGCTGCTAATGAAAGACATAACTTACCACCAACACAAACCCTGACTGCCCCCTGTAAAATAAACCCCTCATTAATCCAAACACACATTTACACAAGTACAGACTGGAGTCCCGGGGACTTGATGAGCAGTTTTTAAGTCTGTCTGGGTGTCTTCATGTTGCAACCTGTATGATCTGACAGTGGTGGTGAGCTGCTTCCCAACCATCTACAAGTTCATAACCACTGCTGCTGCTGCTGCTCACGTTCACACACGCACACACTGAACTCCTTTCATACACTGGAAGTGACTTCTGGAGTGACTTCATCTGCTGCAGGCTCCACCATTTGTCTCTCTGGAAAGCTTGTATGCTTTCCTATGTTTAATGCATGAAACATGTAATTATGTTTTATGCTTAAATGATAAAAAAAAAAGATGCTCAGGCGTGACAAAGAGAGATAGGAAAAGCTAATTAACAGAAGTGCGAGCCGTCTAATTACTGCTGCAGAGAAATGCTAAGACTAATGAGGCTTTCCAAGAGAAAAATACTTGTTCTATAAAATGCTGCATGAGGATGTATGCGGAAATATTCTTTGTTTGAATTAGAAATCGCTTTCTTACTGTCTGTGATAAATAAAAAAAAAAGTGTGAACAGTGGGAATAAAAAGGCTGAAAGAGTGGAGCCACAGACCTGAGCTCTATGCAGAACGTCCCCCAGATGCACACTGCACTCCCCCCCGCTTTCCACCCCCAGCTTCCACGTAAACACACCCGCGGTTCACCAAACTCAGACCCCCGATCACACGGCCGCAAAAAGCCCCCCACAATCTGTCCAGCTCTGAGCCAAAGCTACCGGCGCTTCACATTTTCCCCTCCAGGCAGTGAGGAGATAAGCTAGTGGGTCATTTGTGGATCATTCTTCCTCTCTCTCTCTCTCTCTCTGTCTCTCTCAGCAGGGTTTGTGAAACGTTGAGTCAGCTCTTACCTTCATATCCGGAGCAGAGACAGAACTGGACGAGCAGGAGAGCCAGTGGCCACAGCTCCATGTCAGGACGGGCGATTTTTAACGTGCAGGCAGGAGGAGGACAGCTTGCAAAGAAAACTCTCAGCGCATTCCTGCTTTTTCCAAAGAGCCCGCCTCTTGCTCCAGAAACAAGGGAGGATTCTCTTTACAGCAGGCAGGGCATCCACCGGCGTTGAGTCAGGGGCCAGGGGTAAAGACGTGGGGCGGAGGGGGGGGGGGGGTTATCTGAGAGAGCCAGGGCCTGACGTGAACAACAACACATTCAGCTGCAATGCAGCAATAAATCTAGAGTCTAAACACAGAAACAAGTTTAGGATTATTTATGACTATTATTACATTCAAAAAATATGATTTTTTTTTTTTCTGAGTCAGTCAAGCCCAAAAGTATTCATACCCCTGGCAGATTTAGATTTAACCATTCAACAAAGAAGATGATTTCTGATAGGAAGACAGGCATCCCTCAGGGGAAAATAAACTCCCTTTTTAATGGCCGAACAGCTTTTTGAACATTTCCACAGGTATTTTGACAGTTTATGCTTACACAAGGAGAACTCCTTGAGGCAGACCTTGTCATCTCTTTTCTTCCTTCACAGAAGGACAGTTCTGGGCTCCAAAATGTTAACATTACTTCCAGTCAAAAAAAAAAAAAAAAGTTCTCAAAATTAAAGGATTGCTTTATATTTGAACTCCACAATTTTTTTTGCAATTTAAAAAGGAGCACAACATGCATTTTTGGTCAGCTTTAACATCTCTGGTGTCATGCACAAAATCCCTGCTTGCTAATAACATCATGTCCTTCATGTCCGCTCCTGAGATACGTCTTGGTCACAAACAGTAGGGGAAAGTTAACTTACAAAAAAATCAGCAAAATTATTAGTATGTCATGTTTAAATAACACAGTGAAGACATCCTTAGGCCTAACAATACAAATAATTTTGAAATGAACTGCATGACAAAAGGCGGATCCATATCAGCTTCTTTTTAGTTTCAGACTCAGAGCTTTGCAAAAATATCACATTCAATATCAGCCACATTTTGTCACAGTCCATGCAAAAACGTAAGTGCATTTTATTGATAATTAGCACATTTATGAGGTTGTCATTCTGAGTCAAGTTTATCTTTTTATCTTTGTTTCTGTCAAGGCGTGCGCAGCTGATTTTATTTTATCTTTTTACAAATTCGCCTCCTCTGAAGATCCTTCTTTTACTGCATTTTCTTTACCTGCCTGCTTCCTGAGCTTCAGACAGCGTTCGACAATAGGAACATGACTAATCATGCAGGGAAAGTGAAGTGACTAAAATAACTTTACATCAAGCGGACAGGAACGGAAGGAGTACACAAGAAGCAATCAGGCAAGAGAAAACAACTTTACGGTTCTTTTACAGAAATGAGCCTGCAGCTTTATTATGAACACGCAGCTCTGATTTGTTTTCTTACACCAATTCTTTCGCATAGTAGATGCTCTACTATAACTGAGCTGAAATAGCAAGCAGTAAAAGCAGCAAATAAAATAGAAAAGGTGGAGATCTTATCAGCAGAACATTGGAACAATACCAGTGTTTCATATGTCAAATGTTTTTTGATTTAGAAAAAAAGTAACTTTCACTTTAATAACCTGAAATTACTTCAACTGCACTTACTGCAACATCGTGCAGTGAATTAAGTTTGAGACAATCCTACATTAAAAACCACAGTGCTGACTACAGCATCAACTATTTATCACAAGTGCATCCTAATAAATTAAGTTTATATAAAATGTATATTTGTTTCAGTAATATAGTTTAAAAAGTGAAATTCAAGTTTATTATGGATTCATAACACAAAGTCATTTTAAGAATTCACTTCTTCAAGCTGAGGATTAACCCAAAGCCCAAAATTCACTTTCTTGGAATGGTACATAAAATCAGGAGTTTTGATTTAGAAATAAAATATAATAAATATTAGTATATATATTGTAATATCTGTTCATATAGTATATATAATAATCTTGTCTGTCCAAGCATAAGCATGGAAAGTTATGTGGAAGGAAAATCTGATCAATTATCTTTAAAATTTCCAGAAATAAAGGCTAATGTGTAATGAATTTATGTTTTATGTGTTTTGCCCTTTGAATCAAATTGCTGAAATACGTTGATATTGTGATTTATTGAGAGAAAACTTAAGCAACGCACTACAGCCAGGCACATTCTGATGTATTGCTTGATTTTACTGTTTTCCTGGTTGTGTGTCATGTAGTGTAACACCAGCAACTGCAACTGATTGAGTTTGACTCGCAGTGAGGGTAATTATTGACTCAATGCATTTGGGCATTATTACAGTGCAATAATACTGACGTCCAGCAGGAGGCAGCAACATAACATGTTCAAAAAGTATCAACTTTCCTCACTAGAAAAAACAACAAAACTATTTCCTGCCTCTCCTCTGGAAAGTGAAAGTCCAAGATGGCCACAGACGAGTGTCCACCTTAAGGCATGGAAGCCCCAGTTCAGAAACCAGCATGTATCGCCATGGCAACAGTATCTGTGGCTGAGGCAGTAGGAGTCACTGCAGGTCCAGGTACTGAGGCAGAACGTCGGTCCAGAACTGCTTGGATTCTTCTGGTTTCTTCTCCTCTGCGTCTCTCTGTTTGCTCCTTGGAGCGGGTCTGGGAGCTTCTCTCCGTTTCCCTGAAGAAGAAGAAGAAGAAGA